GATAGATTAGATGGACACATTGATTGATCGGTGGTATTAGGTCATAGATATACAAATACCTCATTAGTTGATGTAGCTCGACCGATCAATGGCAGACGACTCATGGATACATCGATCCGCAAATACAGGATGACGCAGACATGACAGATCGATGGTACATACACAGATTACTGATAAAGAGGTGAGAGGTCACTGGTAGATAGCTGATACGTGATCGATACAGGATTGATAGACAATAGCTGACTGTCGATCGATGACGGATGCGCAGGTGTTCGATGGGTGACAAACACTGACACATGGAAAATACAGACACAGGACTACAGATCGATGACAGATCCGTCGATGATACGTCGAACAATAACAGACGCAGATCAATGGAGGTGATCGGTCAGCAACCGTCCACAGAGCTGTTCTCTGTAATCCACCGTGTCGTCGATTAGCTGATACGTGATCGATACAGGATTGATAGACAATAGCTGACTGTCGATCGATGACGGATGCGCAGGTGTTCGATGGGTGACAAACACTGACACATGGAAAATACAGACACAGGACTACAGATCGATGACAGATCCGTCGATGATACGTCGAACAATAACAGACGCAGATCAATGGAGGTGATTGGTCAGCAACCGTCCACAGAGCTGTTCTCTGTAATCCACCGTGTCATCGAAACAGATCGATGACAGATCCGTCGATGATACGTCGAACAATAACAGACGCAGATCAATGGAGGTGATTGGTCAGCAACCGTCCACAGAGCTGTTCTCTGTAATCCACCGTGTCGTCGATCGATTTTTCATGTCTATCACCTATCAATTTATCCTATGGATCTCATATCTATCGATTGCTACCGAGTATTGATCTATCCCCTATCAATCAATGACCTATGTATTGATCTCTCTATAAGCTATGTATCCATCATCAATCTATCACTTATAAGTTATCTATTGATCATCCATAATCAATCTATCACCTATCACTATCTATTGATCATCCATCATCAATGTATCACTTATCACTTATCTATTGATCATCCACAATCTATCACTTATAAGTTATCTATTGATCATCCATAATCAATCTATCACCTATCACTATCTATTGATCATCCATCATCAATCACCTGTCACTTATCTATTGATCATCCATCATCAATCACCTGTCACTCATCTATTGATCATCCATCATCAATCGATCACCTATCACTCATCTATTGATCATCCATCATCAATCGATCACCTATCACTCATCTATTGATCATTGGTCATCAATCTATCACCTATCACTATCTATTGATCATCCATCATCAATCACCTGTCACTTATCTATTGATCATCCATCATCAATCACTTATCTCATCAATCACCTGTCACTCATCTATTGATCATCCATCATCAATCACCTGTCACTTATCTATTGATCATCCATCATCAATCACCTGTCACTCATCTATTGATCATCCATCATCAATCTATCACCTGTCACTTATCTATTGATCATCCATCATCAATCACCTGTCACTTATCTATTGATCATCCATCATCAATCACCTATCACTTATCTACTGATCATCCATCATCAATCACCTATCACTTATCTATTGATCATCTATCGTGTATTGATCATCTATCATCTATCAATGTGTCGCCTATCGTTTATCTACTGATCATCAATCTGTCAGTCACTCCTCTGTCTGCCCTTCCCTTCCGCAATCCCATGTCGGCAGCTTTCCTTTTTGTCTGACATGTACTGTTCCCCTGTGGTGCTGACCGGGCAAGCCTGAGCCTGGTGCATGCTGGGCCAGTGCCCTTCCCGTGACGCCCTGAGACCCCGTTCGTTCACTTCCTCTCTACTTCCGCCCCCCCTTCGCCCTCTCAGCACCTCAAAGTGACACTGCGAGTACCGAGTACGCGGTGCCCAGCACTGCTGATACATTCGATAATAATAATCCGCACTCCCTCCCGCACCCCCTGCTCCGCCCTTCCTGACGCCCGGTCCAAACCAGATCAACCGGAAAGCCTCCTGTATAGACTCGACACACCCTGCAGACCAGTACCTCGGACTGAGTACTCCCTGAGAGCTACACGTCTTCAGATCGGCTCAGACCTAAGCTCGATCCTCAACTAGGTCCCCCTGACAAAATAGAAGTCCCCCTCCCCCGCCCCCCCCACTGGGTACCGGCCCAGGGGCGGCACACAAGTACTTACGACTCAGTATTCCTTCGGATGTACCCAGTGCGGACCTGAGCTCGGTCCTCAACTAGCTCCCGGCATCAAAATAAAAGACCCACCCCCGGCCTGGGGCCTGCGGGCTCCCGTGCGCCACCCCCCGCCACCCCTGGGGTTCAAGATGCGGTCCGTCGGCTCCCCAACCCCCCACCCAGCGCGTTGTTTTCCCGGAAAGAGACTAAGCATAAGCTCCGGGAAGAGACTTAGTCTAAGCACTTCCCTGTGAAAAGCCCCAGCAAAGCGCCCCACCTGCGACTGCGACTTGCATCACGAAACACAGCAGCACCAAGCACCGGCCGCCCCACCGCGGCGCCATCGCCGGTACCGAGTTCCCAGCACCCGGGGCGGGTCCTGGGCGCGGAGCTCCACGCCGCCCCCGCTGGATGCCGAGTGCTCAGTTCCCCCGATAGCTCACGTTCCCGAACAGAAGCTCTGGGCCCAGACTCGGTCCTCCCGCCACACGGCGCTCCTGCGCCGAGCCCAGGTGCTGACTGAGTTCCGCCCAGTCGGGGCCAGACTAGCTCAGACACGCTCCAGATGCTGCCGCGGGCGGAGGGCCAACCGAGGACAGCACCTGCGGAGGGCCAGGTGATGAGCGAGCACCAATCAGCTCGCGGGGTGCTGAGAACCTGGTGCACCGGCCTGGTGAGTGGGCTGGGTGTGAGTAGGAAGGATTCAGCCTCGAGGAACTCAGCACCCGATGCCTGGATGTGGGTGGGAAGGACTCAGCACAGGTGTACACAGCACCTGGGGACTGAATGTGAGCGAAAGAAGTCAGCCTGGGAGTACTCAGCACCCGCTGGGTGGATGTGGATTGGAAGGACTCAGCCTCGGGGCACTCGGCACTCGCTGGCTGGATGTGGGTGGGTAGGACTCAGCACCGGCATACTCAGCATCCTAGGACTGAACGTGTGTGGGAAGAACTCAGCCTCAGCATCCACAGCACCCAAGGGCTGGATGTAGCTGGGAAGGACTCAGCCTTGGGGCACGCAGTACCCGCCGGCTGGATCTGATGCGCATCTCGTGGGGACAGAAGCCTGGGTTTGTGAATTCCAGGGCGCCGGGCATTCACTCAGCAAACACACACAGCACCTAGACAGGGTCGTAGAGCCCGCACGTCCCTGGGAGAGCCGCACATGACGTCACAGGCCCTATGACGCAACCACCTCCCCAAAGCCCCAGCACCGGGAACCAAACTCCCCATCAAACAGCCTCTGAGGAATATTATATATCCGAGGAAAGGGAGAGGCCGGGACGCTGAGGTCCCAGCATCCCCTGCCGGGACACGCTCTTGTGACATCACTTCCTCCCACCCGTGGCTGAGCCCGGTGATGACATCACTGTCCTCATGACGCAATCGCCTCCCAGAGGCCCCAGCAGTGGGGACCCAGGCTTCCATCAAATGGCCTCCGAGTAATATTACATATCCAAGAAAAGGGACAAGCAAGCCCCGGCGGTCCTAGCGTCTTTCCGGGACACGCCCTCCCGTGACGTCACTTCCCCCAGGTGCGGCTCGAGACCCACTTTTATGGAAAGCCGGCCACAGCAATCTCGGTAGCCTACACCTCCTCCTCCTCCGCTGCCTCGAACCCGCTTGCCCTGGTCCTACGTGAACCCTGGGTGTTTGAACCCAGGTCCTCGGGCCCCTCGTGCACTCCTTAGCAGCTAGCAGCACGGGTGACCTCAACACACATATGTAAAGAGTACTCGGGGACAAACAAGTTTTTATTCTCAGAAGTAGAAAAAATAATAATTCTCACACAGGGTGCACACGGCCCGCTGCACACGTCACGCTTGTGACCTGGAAACAGGGCAGGGGCCACAGTCCCAGGACTTTCAGGACCTCAGTATTCAAGTGTCAGGGGCCAGTTCACAGAAGAACTCAGCCCCAAGTACCCAATTCCACATGAAGCACAGTTAGTAAACATGACACGAGGAGGGTGCAAAGCCGGGCGGGAGCGGGGACGGGTTCGAGGTCCGCACCGATCTGTGTCCGGCCCGGTGGCCGTCTTGCTGAAAGCGAAGCCCGGGCTGTTTCTGCACACAACGAGGAGGGTGCAAAGCCGGGCGGGAGCGGGGACGGGTTCGAGGTCCGCACAGATCTTGTCCGGCCCGGTGGCCGTCTTGCTGAAAGCGAAGCCCGGGCTGTCTCTGCACACGGCCCAAGCGGCCTTTGCACACGGCTCATGCTCCGCACACGGCCGAGGCCTTTTCCACACGGCCCCCTACGTCTGCAGCAGAGTCTGACGAACTGCGAGAGACGAGAGAAGAGGTTGTCATTGTCAGGGTGCTGCGCTAAGTACCTCCCAATATACTTTCCTAAGATTGTCCGAGCACATGCCAGGGAGCCCACGCGAGCGCAGAGGGGGTTAGTTTCGGCACTGAGACACCAAGCACCCGATGAGCAGCACCTATTCGTGGGCTGGAGAGTTTAACAGCACTGGGTACTCATGTAGAAAACTCAGTTCCCAGCACTGACTAGAGGGCACAGAGTTCTTAAACTCCAGCTGTAAGGAATGAGGCGCCCTCTTTTGGCCTACAGAAGGGTGTTGCACACAGTAGGACTTCACAAAGTGGGCGGAGATTTCCTCCTGGTACTCTGGAAGGGTGCTGTGCACGGTAGCAGTTCTCACATCCATTAACAGAGTTTCTCAGGACGCGTCCACACCGCTCCCACAAGGCCACGCCGTCACCGTGTCCTACCTGGCGGCTCTGTGTGGGTGCTGGGTCGGTTGTCTAAGTCCATCTCGCCTTGCTCCACTGAAAGGGAAAACCAAGCATTAGAGAGACTCAGCACAAGACACAAGCACTCAGTTCCGTGACATTCAGTTTTCATGATGGCTGGGGGTTGGGGAGGGCATTTCCGGAAGCTGTGCACCACCGTGTGGGTGCTTGGAACTGAGTCCACGTCCTCCATGAGAGTAGCCACCGAGCCCCCAGTGCCTGCCACAGCGCGTTTCCTCACTCCCATCATGCACCAGGCGCCGAGACCCCTCCTGTCCCGTCCCATCCCGACTTCCGCTTCCGTCAGAGCGTTTGATGATCGCAAAACTAGACTCAGGGCTTCTGCGCTGCGTCCTGAGGGCTGTGACGTCATCGGGCTCGTCCCTGACGTCATCGCGGGGGGATGGCCTCGCTCCGGAAGTGCGTCGCTGGGGGCGGAGGCGGGTCCCTCCCCTTCCCCCTCCCCCTCCCCGTCCTGCTGAGAGGCTGGAGGAGGAATTGACAGTTCCCATCCGTTCTGGTTTCCAGCCCTGTGCAGAGCGTGACGTCAGAGCAGAGCGAGACACTCTGGACCCAGCACCCGGATATTGAAGGACCGTGAGAGAGAGCGTGGGGGAGGTGAGAAGGAAGTGCTGGGGGCGGGCTTGCGGCTGAGGGGGTAGAGTGCCCGCGGCTCAGTGGAGAGAGTGCTGGCAACTCAGTGGGCAGAAGAGTGCTTGCAGCACAGTTGATGGAGGGATTACAGCTTAGCGGACAGAGTGGTTGTGGCCCAGCAGATGGACTCTTTATAGCTCAGTGGATGTAGTGCTTATAGCTCAGTGATTGAGTGCTTGCGGCTCACCGGACAGAGTGCTTGTAGCACTTCAGCCTCAGGCTCAGTAACACGGAGCACAAGGTCCAGCCTGGGCTACAGGAAAAAAAACGAGCGGGAAGCGACAGGAGGGGGGGCTTCGGGGACGTGAGGGGTGCTGAACTCAGTCCCGTGACCCAACAGCAGCACCCAGCACCTGCGTTGACCAGCACTCGCACTGTCCAGTACCCATGGTACCCAGCACCCATCGTACCCAGCAACCGAGCTACTTAGCACCCATGTTACCCAGCACCCGCAGTACCAAGCACCCATGGTACCCAGCACCCGCGCTACCCAGCACCTGCAGGACCCACAGGTACCTGTGTCCTGAATAAACCTCTTGCTGTTGCAACCCAAAGGCCGCGACTTGTCCTCCGTGGTTTCACTCTTACATAACCGAGCTACTTAGCACCCATGTTACCCAGCACCCGCAGTACCAAGCACCCGTGGTACCCAGCACCCGCGCTACCCAGCACCTGCAGGACCAAGCACCCATTGTCCCAGCACCCAAGGAACCCAGCACTCAAGGTACCCAGCACCAGCGCCAGCAAACACCCCACTGCTCCCAGGGTCCCCCGCGCACAGAGCTCAGACCCTCTAGGGTTAAACACGTTTATTTCCGTTTCCATTTCCGTCCTGACAGCCCCGGGCCGTGTGCAGCGCTCACGCAAACCTCCGTTAACTAAGCTAAGGCGCGAATACCACGCCGGCAGTGCTCGGTGCACAGTCCTGCGCTAGCACAGGCGGCTCCGAGCGCCATCAGGGACCGGAGGAGACTCTAGGGACAGAACAAAGAGCACAGTAAGCACTAGAGACACGGGGGCGGGGTCAGGACTCGGTTGTCTTAGTCCTCCCTCAGGGTCGCAGGGGCTGGAAGTCCCAATCATCGGCCCTGGATACAGAATCGCAACCAACTATACTTTCGAGAGCAACCGAGTCCCCCAGCACTCCGAGAGCTGAGGCGGGAGGATGAGCGTGCGTCCGGATCTAGCCTGGGCTAACCCCGGAAGTCACGCTGGGGGGAGGGAACGAAAAGGCAGTCTAGCAGGGGAAATCGCCAAGAGAAACTCAGCACCCAGCACCCGGCAGCAGGGTGATTTCTGATCGGATCTGCAGAGCGCGATGCATCCTGGATTAGAACAGGGCTCGTCATGACGTCAGGAGGCCCCGGGCGCGATGCATCTTGGGTAAGAACAGGGCCCATCATGACGTCAGGAGGCCACGAGGCCTAGGCGGTCGCGGGATCTAGAGACGGGCGGAAACAGACACGTGACCACGGCGGTTTCCGGGAAGCCCTGAGCACACCGGAAACCGGAAGCGGATGCAGAGCCGGAAGTGGGGGCCGGAAGTGGGAAGCCAGATGCAGGGAGCTCTGCGAGGTGCCACAGATCATACCGAACAATCCCAAAGCACATGCGACAAGAGGTACCGAGCTCACAGCAGACAGCACCCCACACAGCCAGGCGCGGAGAGGTCGGCGTGAGCAGCGCGCGTGCACCCCACGTGTGGTTAGCGACACGGCAACGTCCCACCCTTGAGACTCAGGCCCTCGTCTTCCAACGAGATGCAAAGAGGGACTAAGCTCTGGAGATTTCCAGCACCCACCTCGGGCCGGGTGCAAAAGAGGGAAGGGCTTTGGGAGCAAATTCTCCGGATAGCACATGGAAGGGGTTCCCCGGGGGGTGATCGTGCTCGGTTGTCCACGCCTCCTGGGGTTCGGGGTGGGGTCAGGGACCCACAGCAATGCACACATGATGAGCCATGTTATTCCCATGATGGAAGCATGTGGTTTCCCTGACGGGGGCCTGACAGCTCCGAGTGCGACATACAGCAATGTTTCAGGGGGAGGAGGACTCAGATTCTGGTCCCAGCACTCACGTGGTGGGGCACTCGCAAGCACTTACACACATGCAGGTGGGACACGCAAACACGCAACACAGAAAGGAAGCTTAAAATATATAATATGATATTATATGTTGCACAACACAAAATGTAACCGATAAATGCAGCACGCATGTAATTGATATGTAGAGATAATCGATACCATATATCACGCAACACATTTAATGCGTGCTATAGATAATAATAAAACATGTTAACATATATGATATTGTATGTTCTACAGCAACATAAAACGTCATTCACTAATATATGCGATGGACAGGACATGCAATTGATACGTATGGCAATCAATACCGCATATCGTGAATTAATATATATTTCATTAATAAATTCAATATACATGTAATGAATATGTACCATATATGAATATAGTATGCACCACACATTAATATAGATTTACACTTCATTAATAAACACTGTAAATTAGTATATACTACATATTAATAAATAATACTGTTACACATTAACATGTAGCATGTTTAATAAATGCAATATATTAAATGATAATATGTAGTGCACGTTAATATATAATACATGTAATTGATACATAAAACACATATAATTAATGGACTCTAAACCATAGTAAACCTTAAAAGACAATTTTAATTAACATGTCATGGTATATGTTGTATTATATTTTAGTTTTACTTCTGATATGTAGTACACATTAAACATGACATGTATTAATTGATACGTTCTATTATGTAGTACACATTACTATGTACTACATTTAATT